GCTCCCTGCACCCGCGGCGGCCCGACACGGCTCCGGCTCTGGCTCCGGCAGCACTCACCTTCCGAGGAGCTGCCCTCCGGGAAGTAGTGGGCGGCCTCCAGGGCTGACTCGGCGTCCTCGGGGCTCAGTGCTGCACAGGGGAGAAGGGAACAGCAGCTCGCACACAGCCCGGGCAGCCAGGCAGGCCTTGTGCCCGCACAGCTCTGGCCCTGCTTCTGGCTGTCCGCTCCTCTCCAGCCGCGCTGTGTGCCAGTGTGACCTGGTGCCCGGAAATCTGGCCGGCTCTCAGCCGCCATGTGGCACTCTCCCTACCCCGAGGCTGCCATGCGTGCCCTGTGCCCTCCTAGCACAGTACGGGGTGCTACTCACGGGGCGCCACACAGGGGCCACGGGGAGCCACACAGGGGCCACCGGCCCGCCTTGTTCTTCATATTCGCGGTGGCAACCAAGCAATACCAGGGTGTGGGGACCTCTGCCCCCCACGCTACAGGGGACCCAGTCTGTGGGGGCCTTTGCTCCCCACACTACGGGGCAGGGGGGCAGTGAGACAAGACCGACGGGGCGGCCTGTGGTGAGGCAGTGGGGTACGGGTCATCAACGTCCACCAGAACCTGAGGACAAGGTGGGGTAGCTGAGGGGCTAAGGGTGCTGGTGGCCCAGGCGCCTCCCCTGGTAGGACACAGGCTCAGCGGGATCTGACCCCCAGGAGGACACAGGCTCAGCAGAGCCTGACCCCCCGGGAAGACACAGGCTCAGCAGGGTCTGACCCCCCGGGAGGACACAGGCTCAGCAGGGTCTGACCCCCTGGGAGGACACAGGCTCAGCGGGATCTGACCCCCTGGTAGGACACAGGCTCAGCGGGATCTGACCCCGGGAGCCGTACAGATGGCAGGTCTGCGTCGCGCCCAGGCAGTCGGTGAAATCCAGCTAAAGGCCAGCCCTCTGTCCTGAAGACCTCCAGGCCAGCCTGGCAGGCGGCGGGCCTCCCTGGTCCCCGCCAGCGAGCCTGCCCCCACCCCTGCAGCAGGCCCGGCCCCCCCCCTGCAGCGGGCCTGCCCCTCACCCCCCTGCAGCGGGCTTGCCGGTCCCTGGCCGACACCCATGATTTCCATTTGCTCCAGAAACATGGAAATCCCAGCCCTCCTCTAACCCTGCTCCAGGACCTGAGAAAACCGGCGCCCAGAGAACTCCAAGGGCCACCCCTGCTGAGCCAGGCGCAGGGCCCCAGGGACCGACCAGCTGTGGGTCTGGCCTCTGTGAGCCCTTCCAGCTCGGACCCGCCGCCCAGAGGGCCGCCCACGCTGAGGCCACGCCGGGCACTGGCACCTGGTAGAGGCCAGAGAAGGCGGCGCCCAGGTGGCCCTCTGTGAGCCACAAGCCAAGGCCGGGTCCCAGCCCCGGGGGGCAGGCTGCCCACTGAGGGTGATGCCCTACATGGCAGGATTTGGCTCGTCCCACCCACTGCAGTGTCACCCCTCCTCCCACACCGACCACCCTGCTGGCTCCAGGCCAGGGTCCCAGGCCAGGGTGGGGCAGGTGCTCACCTGGGGGCAGGTGCAGCTTGTACAGCACCTTGAGCTTGTCTGTCAGGTCCCCGTGGTACAGCCCACCTGTGGGAAGGCCGGGGGGGCCCCAGGCCGGACGCATCAGAGCCTGCAGGCCCGCAGCCCGGCCCTCTGCAACCCTGCCCTGGATGGCTCCATGGGCCATGGCAGCCTGCCTCCCTCTCCTGCCTGGTCCCCAGAGCTGGCCGGGCCCTCGCTCTCCCAGGAGCACCCCCTGGGCCGGAGGCCTCTGACCAAGGGGTGATGCAGGGAAGGGGCTCCCCTCCCCAACAAGACTCTTCATTGCCAAGGGCAAGGTCCGGGCTGCAGTGTGCTGGACAGCACAGACCTGGGGGGCCCTGGGAAGGACGTGGGGCGGCAGCCTGAGGACTCACTCATGCCAGTCACGAACTCCTTGAAGTTGATCAGTGCGTCCTGGTTCTTGTCCAGCAGCCGGAACATGCGCCCAGCCAGCACAGCCGTGTGGGTGCCGCAGGGCCAGGGCGCCAGGCGGGCAAAGAGCTCCCGGAACTGGCCGGCGTCGATCCTGTACTGCTCCAGGTAGGGCAGGCTGGGGTCCCGCCGCCTGGCCGCCGGACTGCCGCCCCAGTACTGACTCTCCAGGTGTTTGGCCTGCGGGGACAGCCAGCTGAGGCGCTAGGCCTCGGTCCTGGACCGCTAGACTCTAGGCTGGCCAGTGTGCCCCGCACCTGCCGGGTAGGTGGCCCAGCCCGGGGTGCCAAGCCCTGCCCTACCTCACCCCTCACAGCCCTCTCATGCAGGGGCTGCCAGTCTCCATGGACTGGATGGGGCCAAGAGCCCTCGGGCAGCCTGTGAGGGCTCGCTAGGCTGCTCTGCCCCCAGGGCCCTTTCCTCCCCTCGTTAACAGGCGCTTGGGGAGCCCCTGCCGGCCACCCTCAGAGCAGAGGTTACAGCTGGCCGGCCCTGCTGCCTGCGCCTGGCCTGGCAGCAGCCACCCCTGTGCCCACAGCGCCTCGTTTAAACCGGCTACCAATGGGCCCTGGGTCCTCTGCTAAAATCGCTTGGGGAGAAACACTTTTTCCACTGGGGTTACTGAGAGGCCCCCAGAGCGGCTGATGACAGCCCTGTCACTGCATGAAAAGCATGCCTGAAGACATCTGAGTGGGGAGCTGGGCAAGTGTTTGAGCACCGGGATCCAGCCGTGTCTGAAGCTCTGCGCGCTCGCACCCCCGTGAGCCACTGTGCTCGTCCCTGTGCAGGCTGGCTTGAGTGGGTTTTCTGCCATTTAGAAGTGTCCTGTCTGAGTGGGACGCTGCTGCCAGGTACGGCTGATGCAGGTAACAGATCTGAGGACACACTGGTGGGCAGAGGGCCCTGGCCCTGCTCCAGGCTGTCACCTTAAACACCACGTAGAGATCCTGCAGCTCGTCAAGGGAGAAGCCAACGTCCCCAGGTATAGCTCGGACCTAGGAGGAGAGAGGCGTGGGAGGAGAGGTGGGTCCCGCATCCCAGGGCAGACGTGAGGTGCTCGTCCCAGAGCCCCGTGTGGGCAGTCCACACCCAAGCTCCTTCTGGGGTGGGGGGCGTGGGGGAGCCTCTCCCCCCCAACACCCAGTCGAGGGACATGGGGTGAAGGACATCTGGGCTCCTGTCATCTGGAAGGGGCCCAGAACTGGCCAGAGGTGGTCAGTTTCTGTCATCTGTGACCAAGGCCCCCAGGCCTCACAGGGACATTAAGACAAAGTAGGAACCCTGCTTCGTGGGCAGCAGG